AGCAGAATTTTTCAAATATTTCTAGAGACCCTAATCCAACAAGTCTCAAAAATATATTACAAATGAAGCATTACCTATTCAGCGGAATTTACTTTACCAAAGCAACAAGCGTATGTATATGGGAAATGACACCTATTTCAAGATTTCTCCAGTGGAGTCGTTTACTTCCTCAAGATGATTTTAACGCAGGTCCACTTTCATTTCAGGATCTCTTAGTTATCTTTAATAAACTGTATGTGTTAGTGTCTTTCCATTTAAAAGCTGAAAGATTAGATGTATTAAAATCTTACCTTTGCAGTTACTTTCTCTCAAAGAATAATTGCTTGGTTTTCCATTTGCATTTCACAAGGTCACAAGGTCATGAGTAGAAAAATGTATGTAGAAGTCTGAGCAAAATTCATGGTTTCTTGTAAACAATGTCTACTAATTTCTTTACTCTAACCTGAGGCTTATTAATTCTCTCAATTTGAAAGACGTCTTCAGTCATCTTTATCATTTTTACTGTTAATGTAACTCCAGCTGTCTCTTCTGTTTTCTTGTAGGATGGATTTGTACTGTCTTTTAAAGAAGCCAGCCTGAAAATAGCATTGCATAGTCACTAGTGTATAGTTAGGAACATATTATACATCGAATTGTAGTCAGCAAAAATATAGAAAATACTGGGTTACAGAACATTTTTTTGTTACTGCAGGATTTCCCAGTGATATACACATACTTCAAAACTGACATTCAACAAAATGCTGTTTTCCAAAATTTTTTTTAAGACAGAACATCTTTTGTTGAAAATAAGTAGTCTTTAAGTAGGCATTTTTTCTAGAGAGACTTTGGTACTGAAGTTGGGAGAAATAAGAGATCAGTACCAAATATCCACAGAAGAATTATAAAAATTAACAATAATACTGAAATGCTTAAATCTAATAATGTAGGAGTCACAAATTGGCTCTGAGAAAAATCAAGAATGGCCTTCTGAGTGGTTAAACATTGGTAATTATTAAAGGCTTACCTTCCACATAACATACGAAATCAATAAAAGTAGAATAAGTCCAAGTATCAAGCTGCTTACAATAATCGCTATAGTGAAATGGCGTTTGGGTCTTTGATGATGCAGTCCTTCCAGCAGAACCTACATACACACACACATCACACATACATAAAGGGCCAGCACTTTAAAAACTTTGCTCCTCTTTCTGTTGAGGCCCCTCCGTGATCCCCGATAGTACGAAGAAAACCCATCCCATTCTCTTGCTGGTCTAACACAACACTAGGAAACATTGGTAATTGTTTAGCAGAAACAGGGAGTGTAATGGGCTGTACCCATGGTTCCTCCTCAACCTGTCCTACCAAGTTCACCTCCTGAAAAAGCTGTGTCCCTCCCTCCAGTTGTGGAAAATGCCAATTCCCAGGGAAGTATTTCAGGCTCTCCATGATTTTCCTGACTACCCCCCCCCAATTTTAGTGTTTCAGTTAAAAAGGTTATCTTACATGTGCAACATTCTCATCCTTGTTTAGTTTAATAACTCTTGGATTTGGCTCTGAAAAAGCTGTTGCTCTTATTTCAAACTTCAGTGCTCTGGTCTCATCCTGTTTAATAATAATAAAAAAAGATCACTGTAGCCTGATTCATAGTTTTAGTTCATGAAGACATTATCTAAAGGTTTTCATCATTTATCTTTTCCAATTTATTTCACAATTTGTGATGCAATGCAAATGCTTCCTTTAGTTCCAAAGGCATGGCCTTGGTAGTCATTTATATGAAATCATATTGTTGCAATCCTTTTGTTAAACTTTGCAGAGAACTTGATTTACATATTTATAACACTTAGCATTTAAATATTTGATAGTTACCATGTATTTTTCTCTCAGATTGGGAATATTCCCAAAGGTTTTCTTCACCTGATATACATTTCCTCAAATTTATTTTATTTGGGCTTTTTCTAAATAACATTTTCTAAATAACAATGTCTGGGGACATTTTTGGCTGTCCAGACTTGGGAGGTGGTGCTACTAGCATCTGCGGGGTAGAGGCCAGCTATGCTGGTAAGTACCCTGTGGTGCACAGGACAGCCCCTGACGACAGAGAGCTGTCTGGCCCACAGTGTTAATAGCGCCCCCTGTTAAGAAACCTAGACCTTGAGTATGAAGACAAACCATGTTAAGTTTAAATAACTGGAAACTAAAACGTCTGTCTCTTATGTCCCTGTCTGGTGCATTTGCCTCTTGACCACCTTGTGGTAATTTCAACTAGTCCTCTTAAAACATAATAGCTGTCATTGCCTTTGGCTTAGTATGTGCCATGCGCTATTACTAAGTGCTTTAATAAAAATCATCTAATCTGCAACACCCCTGTTAAAAGAGAGATCCATATTGATCAGATCAGGAAATTGAACGGAACTCCAGATAAGACCAATTTTACCTCAAAGTACTTCTCATAAATATGTGTACTCCTTTCTAGGAAGAAGTCCAACATGTATTTCTTTTAAAATTCAACCTTTCAAAGTTCTTAAAAGTGTGTTTTTGTTATTCTATGTTTGCTTTATTGTTGATGATGTTTGATTTTATGAAAGCCTTTAGTAAAAATGTATTAATAAGTATATATTAAAATAATTTTTAAGCATAAAGTAATTCAGAAAAAACTTTAAAGGATTTTTTATTTAATCAAGGTTCATAAATAGTTGGGCATACTTTCTCAAAAACTTAAGATTGTAAAATAAACTATAATTATATTTAATTACTAAAGCTATGTCATTTAGATAATGTATTCTGAAGTGAGCAATGGAAACAGTTTTAGTGTTTTGCTCCAGAGTTTACTCTTATTCATAACTTCTTAATTTGTTGAATACCTTCTTACAAACCCACTTACCTGTATAAGATGGTTGAGTTCCTAGATTTCTATGTGAAATCTTATCCACAAAGCTGTCACTGTATCTTAGACTTACCATTTCTAAAACGGATGGCCGGCCTTCCAACTGAATGTGGACACTGGCTTCTTTTCCACTTTCCATTTTCCCAAAATTGCATGAGAAATTTAAACAATGTGGATCAGCTTTTATGCAGTACTTGAAAAGAATACAAAAGAACTACATTAAAATTTCAACTTTTTTTTTAAAAGATGGCTCAAACATTTTACGTGGAATTCAAGATGTGCTCCCCTTAATGACATTTGCAAAAATTATCTTGCCTTAAACAAATGCTTGTTTAGTAAATTATGACAAAAGCAAAGTGTCTGAACTGGATCAGGTGTTCTCCTTAAATTCTTACGAGCTTAATCTGCTAGGATAGAAAAATAAAGACACCCACTCAGAGTCTTGCTAGGTTCCATGTTCTGTGTTCTTGTAAAATTTGGATCATTTAAAGGGTAAGACTGCTTCCTTGAATTTCTTTTCTTCCATAAACTCATTAAAATGAAAAGAGTGAAAATAAATCTCATGCCACAAAGACTTCTCAGCCTTAGACAACATCTTGGCCTCATAAAAGGTCTGGTTGGCATGAACTGGGCATTAGTTAGATAAATAGTGAAACTATATAGTAGATACTTAGTGCTGGGTCTATCTCAACTTTCCAATCATGCCTGTTTCTCACTTACAAGAATGTTACCTGAACTTGTTTCTCTCCTACACTCAACTGACAGTTCTTACCCCTTGGTTCTTGGTTTTAAGTGTTTTAGTTCTGTATGTTGGAAATCAAAAACTACAACCTGAAAACAAACTTACCAGTAGCCTCTTATCAGTCTTTGACAAAAATCTGAGTATGTCTTTCAGGGTCTCCAGTGTACCTTTTCGCTGCTCTAATGCACAGGTTCTTTGATAATTCTTAAAATGGCACTCTCCAGCAGTGGTCTGCAAGAAAAATCTTATTCAATATTGGAAAGAGCAACAAAAGCTGCATGGCTTTAAAACTTACCTTTTCTAACATAGCTCAAGTACTTCAAAAATTGTGAAAATATTTTTTGACAGACTTATTTGGAAGAGAGTAAATCTCTGTAGCAAAAACGCAAACAAAAAACCCAGCAAAATTTGGTCCTAAACTGATCAAATAAATGGCCTTAACCTTACAGAAATTAGGACCATATGACAAATAGACATTTGAACATGAGCGTGAAATTAAACATTCCTTAGGCTTTAGAGACACAGCATGTTATGACATCTGGAATTCAAGCAAGATTTTTAAGGATTACATCTCAAATCTACTTAGTAGGTTTATTTGTTGATTGCTTGTCTCGAAACTGGGAAGGTAAAAAAAAATTCTGATAGAATCATCAACATAAGAATATTGATTCTTAAGTAGTGATTTCAATATTGTTTATTAATAAAAGGCTTGAAATACTGATTTTTCAGCAGTAACCTCAAGCTTTATGGAGAATTCTACCAATTAACTTACTTGCACAGATCCCTTTCACAAAGAAAACATACCGAAGATGGTACAGCATAGTTCTGTTTTGTATAAGTCACACCAGATGTTCTACCGTAATCCTACAGTTCTAATGTAATATTCAAAGTGTACATAACACATGCATCGTGAATTCATAGCTTAGCCTAAGCTTGACTGAAATAACAGAAATCTTCATTTTAGAAATATTACTTAGAATAAAGGAAAGGACACGTTTTTACCTGGACATCCAAAATGTTGAACAGCTTATCCGTTCGGGGAATAAAAGAATTTGGTATCATTATTTCCACACTGACATTTGGAGCCATGCTTTGGCCAGTGTTGATGACCTGATAAGAAAAAAAATTAAACCGTTAAAAATACTTTTATGAAAGTA